ACGCTGACGATTCCTGCATCACATCAAGTCCGATGCTGCTAATCTCGGAGAGGGCTGCTCGATTTGATGATGTATTTCAGCAAGTCGTCGTCGTACGTGATCTCCGTAATTGACCCAGACTCGGTAGATGCTGTATATGTTGGCAGCGGCGTAGTCTTCTTTTAGCTTCTGCCAGATCTTGAAGGGATTTCTTCCGCATATGCTGTTGAGGCTGTTGAAGATCTCAGGTGCTATCTTTGAACTGAAGATCAACCATACTTCCATGGTGTTGCTCTTGACGAGGTCGGTTGGTGCTTCGGTGGCTAAAACATCCGACTGGCAGACGTACCAGAGCTTCTTGAATTCTAGGTAGGTGCTGATGTGTATGTGCCAGTTTGGGAAGTTGAGGCCAGTGAAGATCGGTATGACGATCACTTCCTTCTCTTCCTTTTTGGATGTGGCTGCGGCTGCTGCTGGGTTGACCATAATGACTGTCCTGCTCCTGAGTTGAATTGTGAAGAGTTCGTTGCTGAGGTGTTTTGAGCGAATCGAGTCCGAGACTGTAAATCTGTTAGAATTCAAGCAACTAAGAGCAGGATTTATTTCGTTAGACCTGAGTGACTATGTACAACGATATTTGTAGGCCTCAAGAAAATAAGAGAGAAATTTACCTAAGAGCAGGACTAGTCGTCTAGCTCGTGGTTTATATTTTTATCTTTGATTGGAAGAGAACAAGACTGTTGTGATAGAATGAAGGAGAGATCGAAAGAGAGAAGAAAAAGAGAATTGAGAATGTTTTTGTGTTTTTAACTTTTGTATTAATACTTTTGAATCGTTTTCGTTCAAGAAGAAAAGGGAAGTTTAATGTCAGCATCTGATGGCAGTTTGCTGCATGGATTGTTCACTTTGATCTTACTTGAGTAAGATCCAGAGATGGTAAGGTGTGCTGCGGTATTTGTCTAAGTTGACGAAGAACCTGATCGTTGTCTGTAAACGATTCGACACTCTATTAGCTAGACATTCGGTTGGAATGAATGCAGGAGGATGAGGGGGCTTACTCGTCGTTGCAGTGGCTGATGCGAGTAGCAAGGGTTGGAGAGGAGATTCGACCAGAGATGGTTCTATTGTTTTTAAGTAGTTTTAAGTGCGAAGTTTGTTGGTCAGCTGAGGGATAAAGACAACAGCTTGACCGACAGAAAGTGCTTCTTAAATACTCACGACCTTAGCCCGTGGGTGTCCTTGATGGACCCGAGGTGGTTCTGGTTCTCTTTGAGCTGTCCCGATTGGGTGATTCTTTTTTCGTCGTTGCGATTCGTTTCATCTGTTTTGGGTGAGACACAAGACAGTTTTGGTAAGCTCTCACGTTCCCCTGTAGGGGGTTTATCACGTGGATGCTTACATTGGATGGATTGAGATGAAACACTGTCCTTCCGACATCTCTTTGCGGAGTCGGAGGCGTGGGTAGAAATCTGACAGTAGGGACGGGCACGTGTTCAAGTTTTCTTGAATTTGCCCTTAAGATCGCGTTGCAGTTTCCTGTTCTGGTGCGCGAGCTGGGTCATATTCGAAACCGGGTAAGTTAGGTGGATGTAGGCCACCTACTGCACGGAGCGACGGCGGAATAGAGGCTAATAGAGGCTGCGTGAGTGGGACAGACAGGGGCATTTGGTTGAAGCTTCCACTCGTCCATGTTACAACCCAAGCAGTTACAGCGACTTTCTTGAGACAGGTGCTGCTGTGGTGCCGCTGCTCGCGAAATGTGGAACATCATATCGACTGCCATTTTTTTGTGAAGTCAAGACTTTGGTTGCCGCATGCGGTACACATTTTTCCACGTAGCTCTGCACCTGGTGCTGGTGCATTGGCCCGGAGAGCAGCGGGCAACATACGCGCGAAGAATAAGGCGGCTGAGAGTCGCGTCGTGGTGAGTACCCGTAGCGTGCAGAGGGCCGAGAGATGTCTTTCCAGCAACAGGATTCCGAGTCCGGCTAACGACGCTTAAAGATGCGGTGGGCTCTTGAATTTGGGTGGCTTTCCCAACTATGCCAGCAAGCCGTACGGGTGGACAACCAATCAATACTTCGTGGCCGTGGAGCTGGGGTCTGGAATCGCTCACCGAGATCGCGTCCGGCGAGCTCCGAGTCCGGCGGCTGCTACATTTCAAAAGACTCGAAGATAAACAATTCGGAGAAAATATTATGGAGAAGTAGATAGGTTTGTGTATGAACACAACAACCGTATTTATTTATGTATCCAATATGTAAAAAATCCTTATAGATAAATACATCGGCTTCGTCCATGGAATCATCAATTCGGCTTGCAAACAAGTTATTCCCACGGGGGAGTGTCTGCATGTTTTCAACGTGGCAGGTATCTCCCCTGTGCATCGCGTCTTCTAGTGGATGCTGATGCTGACGCGCTTGCTTCTGATGGGTTTTGGTCGCCTGGTAGGAAGTATCCAAGGCGGTTACGTGCCCTGGATGTCTCCACTTCTAGTCCGCGAGCTGGATCATTGGCACCAAATCGACCATTAGGGTGTGGTTGGTTTGCCACCAACAACTCTTTTGGCAGTATGTCTTTATGGATGTTGCAGACTACGTTTTGACGGGGCCTCCACTCGTCCGTGTTGCAATTGTAACAGTTGTACCGGTCGCACATAGCTTCGTTGAAGCAGCCTTGGGTGCCGGGCTTCGAGCACCCAAATTCAGCACATGTCCAGGGTTGAGCCTCTGGTGTGCGGTGGACTTGGTATGCCTTGCAGGCTTTGCATCGCTCGCCGGCAAAGTTCGAGCTGGCCAAGGGGGCAAGCAGAAACAGGCACTTGATGATGAAGACAGGTAATGCTCTCATTATTGTGATTCGAACTTTGAACTAAAGTTGGGAAAGCGGTGGGCTCTTGAAGTGGGATTGATTACCACTATGCCAGCAAGCCGTGCTCGTCAATCAACCAAGACTGATGTAAATAAGCCAGTCTGGGCATAATTTAAAGTCCCACTTGGCCAAGTGGAGGTCCCGTCGGATCTGGGACCCTCGCAGAAGTCGATCTAGAGCCAAAAACTTTTAATTCTCGCGGGAAATTTGAAGTTTGACGCTCTAAACCGACTCTGGGAGACCCGCAGAAGTTGACGGGAAGTCCTCCAGTGACACTGGGGGTTTAAATTGTGCCCAGAAGGCTTGTCCAGGCAGGATAGGTGGGAGTCCCACTGGCCCCATTTCAACCTCTGGGCCAAGAGGATCATTGGCCTTCGACTCCACCAAAAACTCCAACTCAACAACTTCAACTCAACACACTTCATTCCAATACTGGCAAATATCACACATATTGTGTTTTGAAGAATGCTTGGACAATTCAAGAATTTCGAAGTCTTTAAGTTATGTGGTTGCAGTGCACAGCGCAGGTTTGATCTGGTGGTTTGTGATCATCAACTTTATTTCACAAGGGAGAGAGAAAAAAAAAAGTAGAAAAAACCTGAACTCAAAATTGTGGAATGCCATGATTTTGGAACAGCAAACTTGTAAATTGGTCCAAGCTTTCTTCAAAACATAGTAGTTTGTTTTTTCTTCTTCAATATTGTTTTTCCTTTTTTTCATGTTGTTGACCATCAATGTGTGAAGAGAAGGAGAGGGAAAGGGGGAGTGATAATCACACTCCACCCCCCTTCGCACACACACTCCAACACTC